CAGGGAAGTATTGTAATTGCGAAAGTTTTCGAAAATGAGATATGTTTTTTGGATGTTATATGACATGTATATGTACATCACTAGAAACCGTCTCTCCCATTTCCTTTGGTACGTCTGTCTGTCGGTCTATGGGCTAATCCTATAACTACTTATAACTTGAGAAGTATCACTCGGATTTCAATGATATTTTCACACAGTGCTACAACTATGCGAAGGACGCCGAAGCTTTGTAGTTTTTGAAAATCGGGCCAGTGGCGGCAGAAAAGAAGGTCTCGAACAAAAGAAGTAAAAATCGCTCAAACTTCGTTTTTTGACGTCTCAGAGATCCTGACCATTATACAAAAAATTTTAGAAGGAAAAAAACTTGCTGGTGGGGGCTGTTAGGGGGGTGGGGAGGGTTTGCCGTATCTTTTTTATCCTGATATATTTATACGCTCCCAATATTGGTAACTCTACGCACCAATTAAACATATGAACACTGACCGAGCTACCAGGTTGCCATGTCTACCCGAGTTAGGTACCGGGGAGAAGCGACGATTTTGCAAACAGTTAGGTATATGTTCGTCACCGTGTAATTCAGTTCAAGTTAAAACTAAAACCATACTTTGTCATTACGTTTTTTGGACATTTGTTTTACTTTTCATTCCTCTCTTTTACAAATAGCACATCTGTAAGACCTCTTTCAACCTCTTCAACCTTCACTTTTGTTGAAGGTAGGTAATGCAAAGCCCCGAGCAGCTCAAACAAAAAAATACCTATTGGAATCGCTGCCATGTCATGGTCTTCAGGAACACCGAACTAAATGTTTCTTAACCTTCTGGAGCAATTTAGATTTGGGAAGGACTAAATTTGAATTATCCTTAGGTATGCGTGAAGGTTTCCTTTTATTTCCGTTATTCACGTTACTTATCGGTTTTGGATGAATTGTGTTTACTTTGTTTTGTGATTTTTGTTGTTTTTTACTAGAAAAGGCTAGAAAACGGCAGACATTCATTGAAAAATCATCCAAATTAGTTCCCTAATTCCTGCGAACATATGCTGTAATTTTAACTTTTTTTCTAAGGTGCATTAATTTCTTGGTGAACATACCAGGAAAGTTTGGAAAAGGCATGTGAGTTCGGCCTTGGCACGCCACATCTGCATTTTTTTTATTTACCCTAGTTATCTGCCTTGTGTTCAAGCCGAGCAATTACCCAGCCAGTAATTGAATAACGGGTACAAACCGAGTACTCGTTGCATATCTACTGCTTTTTCAGAAAATATTAGAATGTGCACTTTGACGGTTCGATCACTAATTATTTCCGGGTACATTCAAACGTTCATCACAGCCCGTCAAACCTGTGGCCGGACGTATGTTAAACGTCAGGCCAACACTCCAAAAAGGAATTTTCTAACCATTTGCTTTATTTCACCTTAGTAGTAGTAGTAGTAGTAGTAGTAGCAAAGCCTGGTAACGAGACCACCTATGACCCTTTTTGCGAACCCCATATTACCAATTTATTATTTTACCTCAATGACCGATTCTCAATAGAGTAACTCCCCTGGCGATCAATCTGACTGGTTTTGTTACTTGCAATCCAGATCAGTTGTGTTCTAGTGTTTCCAAACCAGGTTTCCAGGTTGGTCAGCCAAGACACTGAACAACCTGGGTTTCTTTTTTTTAAGATGCACCGCCGTAGCTCGTATCTGCTGTAGTTGTCCGGCTAAGTAGCTCTACTTTATTGGTGACAGAATTTTCCTATAAAATCATAGTTAAAATCACCTACGTGACATACCTAATGCAAATTGCCCCCTTTTTACACCCTCAATCTACGCAAATGAAACCATAACAGAAGGTTTTCATGCACCCACTTGACACCTGAAAGATCTTAAAATACCTCTGCCCCAATTAGGCGCTTCCTTCTCCGCATATATCTAGAAATTCGTTCGGTCTATTCAGAATCAATTTGTGAACAAATTCGTCAGATATTCGATCCCGTCTTCCGAAAATTTTAATTGCTGGACAGGAAGCTGCTACTTGGCTGCTGCAACACGTGTTAAAAAATGGGATGCGCCGCATGCTTTCTTCGCAAGGTTCTTCCGTTTCGGCTTTGTATTTCCAAGAAGTGCTACACAGTTCATTGGAACGGCCCATTAATGAGAGCCTACCGGCCTTCGTCCAAAGGGCATGACACAGGAATGTGAATTCCTAAATTACGCATATCAAAATCAGAGAAACAATTCTATCGTGTTAAAGGAAGTACATTCAAAAAATAACTGTTTCATTTACTGTAGGTTGTGGACAGTATTTCTATCAGTTATTTGGCTTTCTTACTTCCTTATAAAAATAACAGTTTGGAATTGATAACACAGTTCAATACGTCCGCGTAACTGCCCACCACCAATTTTATGTTTTATAAATGTCCTAGCAATGTTTGCAGAAGTATTTTTATAAAACAACAATGCCGCCATAAAGTTCAAACAACGTTTATACAACGCTTATAAGCCCAAAAAGGGGGCATCCTTGTGCAGCAATATTGTTCTTTAATTTTTCTTATTATGCCTTCCACTGCTTTTACAGGATTTATGATGTCTTTGAAATTATCATAAAACAGTACGCAATAATTATAATTCAATTTTATTGCAAATCGTTATAGAACTAGAATAATACAGTTTTATAAAAGTTGTTTTATTATCTTAGATGCAGCTTCCTTGTTTTGACTCACTTAAAGTTTGCTTTTGTTGTTAAATTGCACCCACTCAGAATAATTTGTTTTTTAATGATACTTGATAAACTAAAAAGGCAAGCGTTAGATATTTTTAATAAATGATTGTTTGAGTAACGACATGTTGCATTTAGTTTTGATATATACACCTAATACCAGTCAGACAGACATTCGCTTTGTAATCTGATGGTTGATATTTTACTGGGCAGGAAATTTTTTTGTATAGTATAATATGGGATATATGTAGCAAAATCTTCAAGCGCCTCCAGTATATTGGGTATTATTGAATTTTAAGAGAAAAGTAAAATTTTCATTTTGTACTTTCTCTTATTCTGGCCTGTATTGTATAATAATTAATTCAATTGAAACATCTTATACCATTATATGGGTGATTCTCGGAAAATACTATTTTTCTGCGTTTCTGTTGATAAAATAATGATACGTTAAGAATAATAAGCGATCACTGTTGAAACTGGGATCTTACAGATAGAAAATATCAAAGCACAAAAAAATTTTTCTTTAAAACTGAAATTATATTTTTTTTTATTGTTTTATGACTGAGAAGTCATATCCTCTGGCTGTTACCAGGAATATTTTCTATGTTTAACACATTCAAACAAGATCTATTTTCTAAATAACGTTGAGAATACTTTACCTTGCTAAGAACAGATCATCTACAGCATGAAAACTGGGCCCGTGAAATAAAAAAAGAAAAAATATGTTTTGTATCAAATGCATTTTCTTTGTTACCATACTTTCAGATCAGTCCTCTGCCACAAGCGGTTTGTTCAACTGTTCACTAAAAGATGGCAGCACATGTCTATTTCCACTGATAATATTAGCGGAAGACATCTTAGTTGCACTTTTATGACGTTTTGGCGCGAATATTGATTCCCATTTGTAGGTTTTAGCAAAAAAATCAAGTGTCACAAACGACTAATCAGTCCACTGGTGTGATTTATCATATAAATATATATTTGTCGCATTTGTTCTTATCGCTTACACGTGTGTTTCTAATATCGTTACAAAATTGTGTAGAAAGTGAGGTTATATTATGTATCTATGCTACCAATCAGTGCAAGTTTAGCGGAACCGTCATTCCTCTGGCGTCAATCCTCTGGCTCTCAAGAGCCCAGAGGAATGACGGTGAGAGCAGAGGAATGATTGTGTCTTGATAAAATTGATAAGTAACTAGCGATTGAACTTTATAGGTACAAAAAATGGCTAGGACTAGGCAAACAACTCCACAAACAAAAGAGGAAGGGCTTAGAAAAAAACGGGAAGCAGAAAGAAGGAGGTATTACCGCTTAAAACAGGATCCTGTCGGAAGAGAGCAACTCAGGCAAAAGGAAATCGCCCAATACTTGAGAAAAAAGGAAAAAGAAGTCATAAAACCCATTGAAGACCTAAGTGAAAGGGACAAGAGAAGAAAACGAAAACAATGGAGAGAATATTCTCAGAAGTACAGAAACAAGAAAAGACAGATAAGAATGGAAAATGAACGTCTAGTACGTAGAATGCATGAAGACACGCCACCGTTGTCAGAAGAAGAACGAGAAAGTCTACCTACTACGCCTGAAAATCACCAAAGTGTTTCGGGAAAAAGAAGGTACGCAACAAATAGGAAAAGGAGAAGCCGTGAAAACAAATACAAACACGAATTAATCAAGAAGCTGCAGCTTAAAGTACAAAAATATAAGCAAAGGTATCATAGGCTGAAAAACATAAAATTAAATAAAAATGATCCATCCTCACCCAGAGGCAGGGCCATACAAATACTGGATGAAGATAAAAAAATAGTCGCAAAAAAATTGCTTTTTGCTGAAGTAATGTCCGACCAATTAAAAAAAATTATGAAAACCTAAATAGCACGAAGCAAAAGCAAATCTTTAGAAATGTTGTAAGTGGAGAGATAGTAAAAAATATCGTGTAAAAAAATGTGTAAAAGCCCTTCTGCATGGGAGCAATATTTTAGACGGTAAAGAAAATGATATTTTACAGTACTCTACAAAGAGGCGATCTGATCCCCAGAAAATTAATGCAATTTGGAGGTTTTTAGACAATGATCTTCATAGCAAACTATGTCCAGGAAAAAGAGACTACTGCAAGAGAAACAAGGTGATAAAACAAAAGCGATATCTATGTAACACAATGCGTAATTTGCATAAAGAGTTTTCTATTCGTTATCCTAATATGCCAGTTAGTTACTCATTTTGGTGTAAGAATCGACCATTTTGGATTGTCCCACGAAAAGTAACATCTCGCGACACGTGTGGATGCACATGTTGCTTTAATATGGCTTTATTAGTTCAAGCTTTAAATAGGATGAAAGTCCTTACAGAAGGTAATGTTTCCGAGGTCACCAGAACATTTTGTTGTGCACAAAAAACTGAAAAATGTTTACTTCGCGAATGCCTAAAATGCAAAGATAATACGATTTCTTATAAACCATATCAAAGCACTGAAGTCGGACATTTTTTCAAATGGACTACGAGAAAAGAGTCTTATTTTGATAAGTACCAGAAGCAAAAGAGTATTACTAAAACCATCAAGCAAAAGCTTATCATGCCTTTGGACGAAATGATTTTTGAGTTTGAAGGATCAATCATAAACTTCTTGAAACATAAAGGTAGATCTCTGCATCAGTATAACCAAATTTCTAAGAAAAAGGAAAGTTTGATGCCGAATGAAGTCATGATCCACGTGGATTTTAGCGAGAACTATTCATTAAAACATGCGGAGGAAACTCAAGCATTTCACTTTGGTGGTTCGCGCCAACAGATTTGCCTCCATACTGTAGTTATCTATTTCAAGTCACTCGAAGTCATTTTGCACACTGTCCCAGAGTCTGAAGCATGATGTATCAGCAATCTGGGCACACCTTCAACCGATCTTGTCATACATTTCAGAAGTTCATGTTGCAGATACACTTATCTTTGTCAGCGATAGCCCTGCCACGCAGTATCGGAATAAAACTATGTTTTATTTCCTGGCGAATAAACTCCACCATTTATATCCAAAAATCAAGGAGTGCTCTTGGAATTATTGGGAGTCTGGACACGGCAAGGGTGCTCCAGATGGTGTTGGTGGAGTCACAAAGCGAACCGCTGATAGGCTTGTGGCTGAAGGAAAAGATATAAGTTCATATGAAATCCTTCTTAATAGTCTGCAGAATAATATCAAAAACATAACCTACTTTTCAATTGACGATGCAGATATAAATAAAATCAGTGATTTAATCAAGAAGGACAGCATAAAGCCTTTTCTCGGCACAATGCAGGTGCATCAAGTCAAAGTTGAGGATTACACTGCAGGACTGTTAAGATTTTTCAGGTTGACCTTATTTGATGTTCAAAGTACGAGTTATTTTTGTGGAATCTTAGATTACTCTGATGAAGACAATGGATACACCCAGATAGAGCCAGAAGTTAGCAGCGACTCTGATGATGATTTGCGATTAAGTAACCTTGTTTGTCATAAAAAGAAGATGCAAAGAATTCATTACAATGACGTCTACTCTGATGATGAAGCCGGCCCAAGCTCAAAAATATATCAACAAGATTTGGTGCCAAGTAACATTATAAAAGATACTTATGTGCTTGTTGAGTATAAAACAAAACTAACAGGTTATCGTTATGCAGCAGTTGTCCAAAACGTACTTGATGATGACGAAGTTTTGGTGATGTTTTTGAAGGTGTGCAAGTTCCAGAATATGCAAGCATTTAGAGCTAATGATAATGATATGTCCTTTGTCGGTTATGATCAGATACTTGCGATTCTACCACCACCGAATATTTTTGTCAAAGTAAATAAAACATATTATAAATTCCATAACGATGTGGACGTGTTCGAAAAGGTTTGAATGCATCCCAGTTAATACTTAGCATTTTTCATTTATTAGTAGTTATAATTTAGAGTAAGCGATCAGGTTTTCTATTGTTCCCTTATTTACTTGTCTTTCCTCTGGCTTGAAGCCATTTTCGTAAGTTGGGATAAATAATTTGTACGTTATATTCTTATGAATGTTTTTTTAAGTTCGAATTTTCAAATTCTATCAAAAAGTTTGTTGATTTTGATATAAGTAGGTAGTACATTGTTGAGTATTTTCACATATGATCATTCCTCTGTCCTTGGAGGTCATTCCTCTGTAAACAGTATTCCATATATTATGTTCTGAATTTATAAAATGAAGAAAATATATGTGTTCCTCTGTGCAGAAAGTGTTTCATTCAATATTCAAACTGTATCCATAAGTCAGGGACCTTTTTGTCAAGTTATAATTTTTTCCAAATAAAACCTTCAAATATAACTGGTTATGGAGAATCACCCATATACTAAATAGTAAAGCAGTAAATTAAGATATTCTATCCTTGCAATTGACGTTGAAATAACAAAATATGGCTTCCATGTTATCAAATACTTTAAACACATTGAGAGCTCTTATAAAACGTTTTTCCTTTATAGGAGATTTCAATAAAATATTTAGTTTATGTTTAAATAGAGATAACCGCTAAAGGTACGTTAATTAAGACAAACGTGTGAATTTCAATGCTTGTCGGCAACTCGCAAAGATATTTCATAATTTTCCATTGTCCGTGCTATGTTATTTTATAATTGCTTTAGTACTGCTCTTAGAACATAATATTGCTTTGAAAAAATTGCCAGTAAGACAATTGAGCTTTTAAGAAGTGTCCTGCTTTATGGGATAGTCATAAAAACGTTTTTAGAGAAAAAATACGAAACAGTTTTACGACAAATTTTAGTATTGTTACATAAATGTTTATACAACAATTTTACACACCATTTAAGCTTACTGAACAAATTTGTTTCATAATAGATTTATACTGGTATTATTATACGAGTCTATCCGTTTGAGAACATCACTAAAATTGTTTTATTGGCTCTATGTAAAACTTATTTATTAATATTTTCTTTCTGACATTATCGCTCACTAAAGCATATTGCAATTAAAGAATTATTACATAGTTATCATAACACAAAAAATGTTTCTGAGGATACAAAAGTATTTATAAATACATTTACAAGAACGAAAAAGGCGTTCATTTTCCGGATAATTCTGGAACGTCTTTAAAATTGCCCAATTGTCGGACAGATGAAAATTATAAAATATCTTTCCTAGTTGGGAAGTCGGTAGTGCAATATGCTTTAGCGAGCGACAGTAAATATTAATAAATTAATTTGATAATCGTGCCACACAGCGCTAATAAAACAATTTTATTGATGTTCGCAAGCGAATAAACTCGTATCGGATAGTACCAGTATAAATCTATTATGAGACAAATTTGCTCGGTAACCTTAAATATCATATAAAATTGTTGTGTAAACGTTCATAAAACAGAATTAAAATTTGACCTAGAACTGTTTTGTATTTTTGCTCTAAGAACATTCTTATAGCAAAATACGAGTACTTCTTAAAAGCTTAATTGTCTTACTGGATATTAAAATAAAATTACAGTCTAAAAGCAGTAATAAAGCAATAACAAAATAAAATAACACGGACAGATGAAAATTATAAGATATATTTGCTAGTTGGGAGACGGTCTGCACCACCGGGTGCATTAAAACCCGCTGCGCTATGTGCTGCCAGGGTAAATTCGTACAACTGGCAAAATTAAAGATCAACTGAAGTATGAGTGAATATCATATCAATGTTAGAGCATTTGCGCTTACTTACTTTGGAGCATAGGCGTTTGGTCTTTGATGGTTGTTTTGCTTTCAAGATTTTATTGGGTATCTAGTCTAATCATATTAACAAATTTTTCCGAAATAATTCTAAAGTCTGGTTTTTTTGGTGCAAGTTGTTCAAGGGGACATTTGAAACATGGACGCATAAAATGGATACACCAGTTTTTGTGGGAAAACAAAATTGCATTATATTGAAGAAGTAGTTGTTTGAGAATTTCTAATTGTTTATCCCAAAACACCTGTTTTCCGACCATCACTACTAGTGTATTGAGCATTTAATAGCACGTGTTTTCCTTGCCGATATGAATCACAAACCATTCCGAAATGTAAATGTTATTATTATGCGAAAAACAAAAGCCACGTTATTTTATTCTACACAAATTCAAACATTTCGTATTTGTGAGGGATTGAACAAATGCGCAACGATATTCAAAAAACATACGTTACTATACACATTTTAAAACAAAGCGGATGTGTCTATCATCTTTTGATGCGAATTACTCACAAATACGAAATGTTTGGATTTGTTTAGAAGAAAAAACGTAACCGATCCTTTTTTTGCATAAAAATAACATTTATCTTCCGGAATCGTTCGCGATTCATATCACAAGGTAAACTAGTGTATTTTGCAATGAAATGCCCTTTGATTTAACCCTTTATATTGCTCAATAAACTAGTAGTGATGGCCGGAAAACAGGTGTTTTGGGATAAACAATTAGAAATTCTCAAAAACTACTATACCAATCTACTCCAACTTTAAGGTGGTTATTAACAAGTACAAATCCTACGAAATTGGAGAATTTCAAATATCTGCGAGAAACCATCGTCGCATTACCAACATGTGCCAAAACCTTCAGTTTGCCTCGGTTTTCGGCCATAACATTTTTGCTATTAGTTGGATCTTTTTACGTGAGGTCTCATTTTGTAGAACTCATAAACACCTAAAAACCTTATTTGAAGGATTTTTTGTTACTGCCAACGCTTTCGAGGGAATCCCAAAAAAAGTTTTCTCATTCTTTGTTGTCGAATAAAAAGTTTGAATACTCCCTTGAACAACTTGCGGCAACAAAACCAGACTTTACAATTATTTAGCAAGCTAGGGGTATTTCCGTCTAATATGATTAGACTAATCACCGATTGAGAAACCTTGTTAGCATTGATACATTTTGATGTAACATGTAGAACATTGCGTAATTGTAATCTGTTTTGCGATTAAGTTCCACCCAACAAATTATGGTCAGCACTCTCCATTTGATCAATTTTACCTATACTCTCTCAGGCTTTGAACGAATGAATGAAAACACTAAATTAGAGGCATGCCGGCCACCATAAGGAGCCTGCGCATAGGCCACTCAGACGGGCACTTGTGCACCTCCACAATTCTTAGACCTCAAGCTTCGCCATGCCAGCGAAGTCCAAGCTCCTTAATGTCCTGGGGGTCCAAAGTGATGTACCCCAGTATAGTTTGCATGTAGTAGCTAAGAGCCTCGCAGAGACACAGAACGTGCGCCGAGGTCTCTTCTTCTACCCCGGAGAGCTCGCACAAGGGATCCTCAGCCACCTCCATCACGTGCAGGCGGCGCCTTAACGTGTTATGCCCAGACCCCAGACAACAGTCCCACCAGCAACCTGGCTCTATCCAAATAAAAGCAGAAACGTCCATCCTTAGCGTTGGGCCCTGCAATGAGTTCCCGTCCCTGACGTAGATGTCTGGAGATGCTTCTCCATTTCTGAGAGTGTTGTCTTGCAATCCACATCTCCATTTTCCTCCTAACTTTTAGCGCGGGCACCCCTAAAGCTGGCTCAGGACCAACGAGCTTGCTGGCTGATCCTGTCTTCACCAGAGCGTCCGCCATCTCATTGCCCTTTATCCCAGCGTATCTCGGTATACACACTAACGATACCGGATGCCACACTGCTAGACAATCCAGAGCCTCCCTGCATTGCAACACAAGGCTCAAAGTAATCTTACAGGCACTTAGTGCCTTTATTGCAGCCTGGCTGTCGGAGAAGATTGTTATTCTTCTCCTAGGCCCACCTCCCTCCAAAATGAGGGATACACAAGCCAGAATCGCAACGACTTCCGCCTGGAAAATCGTGGTGTATCTACCAAGAGGCAGATATAGCCTAGTCCTAGGCCCCGAGACCCCGGCGCCAGAGCCCTCTTCGGTGACCGAGCCGTCCGTGTACCAGACTTGTCCCACTCACTACGGTGAGCCTTCGGTAGCCGGCATCCCACTCCTACCTCGTTGGATACTCCACATTAAACATGCGGTTGGAGCGATACTTAGGGGTAATCACATCGCCCCTGCTCGGCAGGACAGGATCCTCCCTTTGCAGTTCGACCAGGATGGCAGTATAACCCTTGACAGGATTCAAGAAGGTCCAGCTACCCTGACTCCACAGTCGATGTGCGATAATTGAAAAAAAGAAACTACACAAGTAGTACATCAAATCTCACTTGCTAAATGATTATCATGAGTTTTCTATTCTCAGAGCTCTATTTTAAATTTTTATTCTTTCCCATCCATAGGGTGAGGTGAATAAAAGGGAGTAAATGCTTTTACTTCATAATTTTAAAGTAAATTCTTGGTAGTAAGTGATTAATAAAACTTTTACTTGTACTTGTCAAGCAAACACTTGCTATCTCGAGTTATTACTCCTAAAGTAACTATTTTGAGTGTTCACTTATGATTGGAGTGAATAACAGCAATAGAAAACTTTACGTATTAAGTAAATTATACTTTCATTTTCGCAAGGTTGGTTTGATGTTACCTTGACGCAATTGATAATTTGAAGTGTCTAAATTATGTCAGCATTTATGAATATACGTAAAGTTAAACAATATCGTGATCGAACAGATATAAGTCCAAAGAGTGCAAAACGTCTTTTAAGGTTTGAAAATGAAAATATCGATTTCATTACAAACTATTTCTTACCAGAAACCAACGAAACTCGAGGTGGTGCTCTGTCCTCAAGAAAATATATTGAAATATTTCTCCAGTATATTAGTGACCCTGGTTTTCAAAGTGGTGTTGCAAACGATTTTTGTATTGAAAAAAAAACAGTTTGTAAGACTGTAGATTATGTTGCACAAAAAATTATGGAGAAAGCAGGTCAATGGACAGTGTTTCCAACAACCGAACGAGATTTAAA